CCAGTTAAAGATTGTAGAAATGAAATTACTGAGTGAGATTAAAAAATGTAATAGATGAGATAAACTGTAGAACAGACAGAGAAAACAGGCAAAGTAGTGTTCCCATATACTGCTGGTGGTATTTACACAAGGGAATGAAAAAGAATGGGACAATAGTTATATTTAACAACACAGATGAATCTCCCAAATAAAATGTTGAGTGAAAGAGGCCAGATCAAGGATTGCATACTGTATTACTCAGTCTCTCTCTTATATTTTTAATATATAAAGTATTAACAACATGCAAAACTAACTTCCGTGTTTAGGGTTACACATTTAAGTGTTAGAATTGTAAAGAAAAGTAAGAAAGTGATCATAATAAAAGTCAGGGCAGGGTTAACTTAGGGGAGAGGGAAGAGGATGTGATTGGGAGGGGCACATAGAAGGTTCCTGGTAGTTTTCTGTTTCCTGACCTGGGTGACGTTACATGGGTCTTCTTTTTATAATAATTTGTTAAGCTGTACATTGATGTTTTACGCATTTTTTTTCTATACGTGTGTTACATTTCACAATTAAGACATTTTTGTTTTGTTTGTTTTAAAGAGAGAATTTGGAAATATAAGGTAGATACTGAGAAACTCACCAGGGATGCAGTACAGAGAAACAAAGAGGTTAAAAATATATAAAAGGGCAGTTAAGAGACATGGAGGGTGGGTTGGAAGGTTCCAATATCCGTACAATAGCAATTCCAGAAGAGGATGGAGGTAATGGTAGAGAAGCAATATTTGAAGAGATAATTGTTGAGAATGTTCCAGAACTGAAGACAGACTTGTATCCAAGTACCTAACAGAATAAGTAAAAATAAATCCAAACTCAGGCACATCATAGCAAAACTATGGGACATCAATGATAAGGATATAACATTTAAAACTTCCAGATTACCTATCTACAAGGGAACCACTTTTAAATCAGAACAGTGAAGGTCTCATCAGCATCAAAAAATGGCCAGAAGGGATGCAGATAAAGCAACTGAGTTGTATATCCACCCCAGAGAGAGAGCAAAATAAAGACAAACCTAAAAAAGAATAGGCTCACCGCACCAGACTCTATGAACTGTGAAAGGCTATCCCTCAGCAAGAAAAAACTGGGGGTGGGGGGACGATATAAAAGTTATGGGACCAAGGAAATGATACTGGACACAGAAATTGACAAAATATGTCAATTGATATGATTTATGATTGACTGAAAAGAAAACAGTATGAATTATTGAATGTTTAAGAAAAAGGGGAAATGAAAATTTTAAACTCAGTAACATGATTATGGATGGAGGTGGCAAGGGTAAAGCATTCAAGGTCCTCATCATGGTTGGGTGGTTATTAAAAATACTAAACAATTATAAGCACTCTTAGAAAAATATATAGTTATTATTTTGAAGGTACTACCAAAAAACCCCAAAACAACAACAAAAAATGAGAAATGCGTTATGTTACTTCCAAATCAGCAGAGGGAGTAATGAAAGAAGACTAAAAACTAAGAGGGGTAGTTATAGTTTCAGTTTTCAAAAAGGGTAGAAAGTTACTTTTTGAATACCTCAGATTGCCAAGCCTAACAACAATCTGTCAAATGAAAGAAATGGGTATTAAATATCTGCTTTGTAAGCACTTTAACCCAAAAAGGAAGCAGTGTGACCAGGTGGAATTTGCATGAATTCACTGAGAAAAAGTTCTACCCACCTAACTTTATTCTCTGCACTCTTTTTTCATTTTCTTAATTTTACAAAGTGTTTGTTAACTGAAGAGAATTCGGAAAAGAAAAAAGATTCTATCTATTGCTGTTAATATACCAGTGTGTGCGTGTTGTGGTCAAGTTGCTAGGTTAGTAGAAGGGTGTGACATATGGGAGATGCAGTGAAAAGAACACTGGACTTGGTAGACTGGAGCCCTGAATACTCAGATTTACAAGGAAGGAGATGGCACAGTGGAGTGGCCTAGGCATCTAGACTTTGATGCCCAATAACCGGGATTTGCATCGAGGATTGGCTACTTACTAGCTGTCAAGCTACCTTGGCCAAATGACTCCAATTTCACTTGTCTTCTTCATGTATAAAACAAGGGGATAGCAGGGTGTAGCAAAGCCTGTTGTCATCTAATCTATTGCCCCTCTCTGCTTTAAAATTCTATGAAACTAAAAAAAAAAAATTACATGAATCAAAACGAAATCATATGGGGCTTCCCTGGTGGCGCAGTGGTTGAGAGTCCGCCTGCCGATGCAGGGGACGCGGGTTCATGCCCCGGTCCGGGAAGATCCCACATGCCGCGGAGCGCCTGGGCCCGTGAGCCATGGCCGCTGAGCCTGCGCGTCCGGAGACTGTGCTCTGCAACGGGAGAGGCCGCAACAGTGAGAGGCCCGCGTACCACAAAAAAAACCCCAGAAAAACAGAAAAACAAAAAAACGAAATCATAAAACTTATGTGTCAAGTCTCCAATGAGACAAAAGTGGAAGAGGAACAGTGTGAAGAGTGAAAAAGCATTCAGACTGTGTCAGAACAGGCTGAAATTACTCTCCTGAAATTTAACAGGAAGAAACAAAGACCTCAATTTAGATTGACAAGAGATCGTCTGTGCAAATACAAAATGGCATCGACTTGGCTTGATAATAATTCATTTGAAAAAGAGCTAGATATTTTAATATATGCTCCTGGAGCCAGTGATATGATGGGGTTATTAGACTAAATTAATGAACACTCAGGCTAGAGTAGCAGAAACAGTGTTTATGGTCACGGAGGCACAAATCCCACAGTGGGGATACCTCATTTTATTGTGCTTCACAGGTACTGTGTTTTTTACAAATTGAAGGTTTGTGGTAACCCTGCACAGAGCAAGTCTATTGGTGCCATTCTTCTAACAGCACTTGCTCACTTTGTGTTTCTGTGGCACATTTTGGTAATTCTCGCATTTTTTTCAAACTTTTATTATTATAGTTGTTTAAGGTGATCTGAGATCAGTGATTTTTGGTGTTGCTATTGTAATTGTTTTGGGGTGCCATAAACTGTGCCTATATAAGACGGCGAACTTAATGATAAATGTGTGTGTACTGACTGCTCCACCAAGTGGCCGTTCCCCATCTCTCTCCCTCTCCTCAGGTCTCCCTATTCCCTGAGACAGAACAATAACGAAATTAGGCCAATTAATAACCCTGCAATGGCCTCTAAGTGTTCAAGTGAAAGGAAAAGTCACATGTCTCTCACTTTAAATCAAAAGCTAGATAGAAATAATTAAACTTAGTGAGGAAGGAACATCTAAAGCTGAGATAGGCTGAAAGCTAGGCTTCTTGCCCCAAATGGTTAGCCAAGTTGTGAATGCAAAGGAAAAGTTCCTGAAGTAAATTAAAAGTGCTACTCCAGTGAACACACAAATGATAAAGAAATGAGATAGCCTTGTTGCTGATATGGAGAAAGTTTGAGGGGTCTGGATAGAAGATCAAACCAGCTACAACATTCCCTGAAGCCAAAGCCTAATCCAGAGCAAGGCCCTAACTCTCTTTAATTCTATGAAGGCTGAGAGACGTTAGGAAGCTTCAGAAAAAATGTTTGGAACTAGCAGAGGTTGGTTCATGAAGTTTAAGGAAATAAACTATCTCTGTAACATAAAAGTACAAGGTAAAGCAGCAAGTGCTGATGTAGAGGCCACAGGAAGTAATTCAGAAGATCTAGCTAAGACACCTTCATTAATGAAGGGCGCCACACTAAACAACAGATTTTCAGTGTAGATGAAACAGCCTTATACTGGAACAAGATATATCTGAAACTTTCATAGCTAGAGAAGGTAAGTCAATGCCTGGCTTCAGAGCTTCAGAGGACAGGCTGATTCTCTTGTTAGGGGCTAACGCAACTGGTGACTTTAAGTTGAAGCCAATGCTCATTTACCATTCTGAAAATCCTAGGGTCCTTAAGAATTATGCTAAATCTACTCTGCCTGTGCTCTATAAATGGAACAAGAAAGCCTGGATGACAGCACATCTGTTCACAACATGATTTACTGAATATTTAAAACCCTCTGTGGAGACCTAACGCTCAGAAGAGGATTCCCTCCAAAATATGACCACTCATTGACAATGCACCTGGTCACACAAGAGCTCTGATGGAGACATACAATGAGACTCGTGTTGTTTTCCTGCCTGCTAATGCAACATACGTTCTGTAGCCCATAGATCAAGGAGTAATTTTGAATTTCAAGACTTATTGTTTAAGAAATACATCTTGTATGGCTAGAGCTGTCATAGACAGTGATTCCTTTGATGGATCTATTCTGGGCAAAGTACACTGAAAACCTACTAGAAAGGATTCACCACTCTAGCTGCCATTAAGAACATTTGTGATTCATGGGAAGAGCTCAAAATTACAACATTAACTGGAGTTTAGAAGAAGTTCATTCCAACCCTCATGGATGACTTTGAGAGGTTCAACACTATTTCTAGGAAGTAACTAGAAATAGCAAGAGAACTAGAATTGGAAGTGGAGCCTAAGATGTGACTGGTGGCACAGTGGTTGAGAATTCTCCTGCCAGTGCAGGGGACACGGGTTTGATCTCTGGTCCGGGAAGATCCCACATGCCACGGAGCAACTAAGCCCATGCGCCACAACTACAGAGCCCATGCGCCACAACTACTGAGCCCATGCACCACAACTACTGAGCCCGTGTGCCACAACTACTGAAGCCCGCATGCCTAGAGCCCGTGCTCCGCAACAAGAGAAGCCATCGCAATGAGAAGCCCGCACACCACAACAAAGAGTAGCCCCCTACTCGCTGCAACCAGAGAAAGCCTGTGTGCAGCAACGAAGACCTGATGCAGCCAAAAATAAATAAATAAATAATAAAAAGAAAGATGTGACTGAATTGTTGCAATGTCATTATAAAGTTGTAACAGATGAGGAGTTACTTCTCATTCTTACAGACAACACTGTGGTTTTCATTAGCTTTGAATGTTTGTCACATTATCTATACTGAATGAAATGTACTTACTTCTAACGCATAATACACTGGTTTGTCTCTGCCCAGTTTGTAAGCCACTGTGGTCAGAAGGCCATGTTCAGAAAATACACACTGTAGGAAAGAGAAAAAGATTTCATTAGTCAGGAAAACAAAAAGATAGCATTAGAATATTTTTAAAGCAAAAATGATCTAGTTACAACGTAATTCAATAAATATAACAATTTAGAAAATAGATCTTAAAAGTCAAAATTATCAGTATTAAGAACAGTACACTTAAACAGTATAAAAAGTTTATCCCTTGTTCCAAATTAGATTTGCATTAAGAATCTGACAAGGTCCTAGTGTAGATATCCCACTAACACAATTAAAAACACACATGTAAAATTCAAAGAACCTAAAATGTTTCTTACAAGAACCATTCGCATGTAGTGATTTTCATCATTTTTACTGAGCTCTAAATTAAACCTTGATAAAAATTAAATAAAACTCCTGACTCAAAAGTAACTTAATAGCAAATTATGCTCAAGTATTATTCACATGAAGTTAAAGAAGACTTTCACTAATCTTTTAATCTGAAAAAAACCAACCTTACGGCCTGTATTACATAGTAAGAAACAGCCTGTTCCATACCTATAGTTGGGGGAAGAATGAACAGTAGGACAATTTTATTAAAAGTAAATGATGAAACATTAATACTACAAAACTAACATTTAACTTAGAACAATAAAAGTAATTTATATTAAAGTTTTAGAAAAGTTCTAAAAGCTAACAAACATCACAAACTCTTTGGAATAATGTTTTAAAGAACAGTCTAGAAGAAAATGTACTTAGTGCAATCCTAATGGAAAAATCCAAGTATAGTATTTGGCACTTAGTCATAGCCCAGGGCCATGTTTATAAAATAGCACTGAGTTACAATAAATCCTAAATTCTGTCACACTTACATTGCTACTAATCCCCATGGAGTGAAGCATCATGACTAACAGGCATTCAGCAATGGGGTGGGCCAGCCCAGCTCCATCATTAGCACAGTCATAAACTTCTGGCATGGAGAGGGAGTAGGTCCAGGGTACAGGAAAGTGTAGGTGGACTTTGGGAAAATGAGGGGCCCAGAGGGAAAAGCTACTGCTGGTCTACTTTCCCCATTCTCTGCGCAGGACAGGGCGTTCTACTAACACTGGTGGGAGAGTCACAGCCAGCACGTAACACAGCTGCCATGGAAGAACTGAATTTATTTTGTGACCGCCTTATCAGCAAAAGCTTCGGATTCTGCAACGAATCTGGCGCTTGGACATGAGTGAGTGGTTTTGACTTGTGCCAGGCAGATAAGCAGCCCAAACTGCTATCAGTAAGAGTCACATGGCAACAGTTTTCAAATCAGTTGGCTGTGACTATCATCCTTGGCTCTCCACAGCTGTCCTGCCCTGTATGGGATTCCCTCCCCATGGGCCTTGTGGGGCAAATAGAAAGCCAGGGCAATTTTTTCTGATAAACATTTTTCCAGGCAACATTGTTGTGAATGAGAATTAGCCCAAGACCGTCTATCTCTTCTGCTTGATTGCCGGCCTGCGTGGGATTCATGAATATCTAAGTTTTCAAAGACACCAGTCAAATAACACTAGGTACAGGTAATAATATATTTATGAATTCAAACACATAAATCGCTACGCCTTTTTACCTCTGTGATGCTGAAAAAGCTATATATTTTAAGTCAATCTCCTTTAATAAATATTCGTAAAAATGGAAGTTAATTTTCTGTTCCACACTATTTAAAGGAGAAATATGTACTGATTTAGTCCCCATATAAACACTCTGTATACTGAATGGTAGTGTACAAGTCTTAAAGTATGAAATTGACGCAGAGGCTCAAGGTACATAATAAAAGTGAATTCTTAAGTTTGTATATACTTGATAAGTAATTAATGAGTATTATCAATATATGAAGAGACCTCCTTGCTACATTTAGGCCACAGCTTTCAAAACAGGCAATTATTTTCCTCTTAAATTTTATTATTTTTTTCTTCCCAGTCATCAAACCTATATGGGGTTTTCAGCATTTATATGGTCTACCAATCCTTCCTCAAACATCCCAGAAAGACGTCTGACTTTGCTAAGCTCTGGAAAGTTAAAGGTTGTTTGCTATTCTCCACGGAGAAGTGGGCCAAACAAAGACGGCACACAGCGGGAGCGTGAGCGGCCCTGGCCGAAGCTGTGAAACAGGCAGAAGGACTCCTCTATTACACTTAGGGCCTCTGGGGAGAGGAGGCACTTAAAACACAAACTTAACTTAAAAACACAAACAAAATTCCCCAAACTCGGTATGATCCTGTTAACCTAACGAACTACGTACTTCACTTCCCGTTCCTGAATAGTTGCCTTTTTGCAAAGCACATTCTGTCTTGCTGTCTCTATTCTCTACCTACCAGCATCTCTTTTGGCCACTTGCAACCTGGCTTACATCTTGAGCATTGTACTAAAACTTCATTCTTTGAGGTCACCACTGAAGACCTGATTTCTACGTACAATGGTCTGTTCTCATTCTCAGCCTCCATGACCTATTTGTACTATTTTGCACTGCTGAACAAGCCCCTCTCTTAAACAGCTCTACACTGGATCTCCACTTTAATGACTAACTACATTCTGTTTGTCTGACTTCTACATCCCTTCATCTCCTCCTTCTTCTAAATATCTCCTCTACCTGTGTACTTTTTCTTGGTAATTTTATCTATTCTTATCGCTTCAAAAAACACCTCTAAATATGGGCAATTCAAAATCCCTCACTTTTATATTGAGTTCATTCCCCATTACCGTATGTGTGTAATGTACAGTCTACCAGTACTGCCAACGGGTGCCAGACAGAAATTCTTCTACTTGGACCCATTCCCTACTTTGGCTAAATCTAACCACTGGGCCCAGGGGACTAGACTCCATGCCTGCTTCCTGTCTCTTGTCCCTCTGTAGCGCCATGGACATCCACCCACGCCTCCCTCAGTCCTCATCCTTCTTAGTTCTTGTCCTTGTTACTGAGATGCCATGGTGGCCTCCTCCACGTCCTCTTTGCCTCTAGCCTCTCCCCACTTTAACCCAGGACTGCCATATCATTAATGAACAGCTCCAGTCATCTCTGAACAGCAGCCCACAAACTTTCAGGAGTGTCCCACTGCCTTCAAGAAAACAATCCTCAGTCTGAAGTTTAGGGCTTCACACCGCCACCCTAGAGCCTTATTTTCCCAACTACTTCCCCACCCAAATGTTCTCCACATTCTCTAAATAAACTCTTCCATGTCCCTGTTTGCATCTTCGTTCAGTGTTCCACGCGTTCACCAATATTTGCTCAGTCTTCAAAACATCTCATTACTAACAATCTTTGGTGATTTTTCTCCCCTCCCTTTGAAACCCAACAGCAGTACTTCCAAGTTTTTTATGGCACGTAAGTTCTGATTTATAATATGATGAACTGTATATTTGTGTTCTTTCCCCTCAGGAAGCGAAACATGAGCCCAAAGATCTTACAGTTTTCTATTATGCCCCTCTGCCAACCTGCAGGGGCTGCAGAGGTACTCAGCAAGCCCTCCCTAACTTAAATTCATCATTTCGGGACTTGGCTGATAATGCTTAAGGGGGAGGGGAGTATAAAGAGAGGGAAAACCTGGCAACTTTATTGGGCGCCTCCCGTGTGCTCTGTAGTGTTAGGTACTTGACAAAGAGAGAGAGCATCTGATTTACTAGCATTAGGGTGTCTGGCAGAGGACAAAAGAAGGGGGTGGAGGGGACAGCTTACTTTTCTACCATTTCTATCACTTCTCTGACTCCTGACTCAGCTACCTGGGACCCAGAATTCAAACAATATGTTTCCAGATGCACGCTGACTCAAACACTTCTTGATGGTAACCTCTGGATATCATGACCTGCAAAGAATTTTCCCATCTTCCCTCCCCAAAAAACTCTCACACAAATAATGTCACACTTTTGCATGAGGACTTCTGACCCTACTAGAGTACAAGAACACTTAATCTAAAACGTAAAGACATTCCATTATTGACAAAAGAAGAACGTAACCACTGAAGTTAACATTAATGAGCGAATCAGAAAATCCTCAAGAAAAAAACACTTAAACGTAGATAGTCTCCTGCCAGGTCTATGGAACTGTTTTCCACACGGAGGATAGTAAAGTACAGAGGTAAGGTACCCCGGCTAAATTGAATCAGCTGGATCTGGGTGCAAAGACTGCTGCTCTCACTTACTAGCTTAACCTCTCTGAGAATCTTTCCCAGCCTAAAGTGGGAGTAATCTTATCATTATTAAATATGGGGCTTGTTACGGACTGCGCGCATGAGCAGTAAGACGAGATTAGGAGAAAAATGCACTAAATCTCTGCTTCCGTCATTCCTTCTGCTTCTTGTCGAAGGAGAAACTCCAGATGATGGGGAGAAAGCACACTGCCAGGGAAATAACACTGAAAATCCCACAAAAATATGACTTTATAATTAGTGAGAAAGTCTAGGGCAGGAACACCATGTTGAAAATTGGAAGTGGAAGCTCACAGTCTTAACCGCTGGACCGCCAGGGAAGTCCCGAGGCAAGAATACTTTAAGCCAACATTTAGTTTCTGGATGGAAAAGGTACTGAATTTTATAAATTAAGGTTTTCACAAGCCTCATCAGTTTGTTTACATATGTCATAGTGAATTCTATGTGAAGGAGATGAAGAAAAACAAATGGCAAAAAGTATATATATCTGTACTGGAACTCTTAAGCTATTAATTTTCAGCCTGGATGAACTTCAAAAGCATTTCCTCATTCAAAACACCAAAGGGAAAAACAAACAAAACACCACTGGTTTTCAGGTCTGTTTCTTAAAACTCACGTGTTTTTGGCTTGTCCATCCTGGAAGCACATTTGTCCCACCAATGCAGCAGATTGGTCCCCCAAACACTGAAAGTATACATGACAATAAAGAACACTGACTAAGACAATATTGTTCATTTCCTTTCTAGGAGAGCCATAAGATTTATTTTCCCCTCTTTATTTACGAAGGAATGAATTGTTTTATGTTCTTTGCATTGCCTCCATTTGGCCATTTCCCCATGTGTTAACACTGCAAACAGGTACAGGAAGGGAGAGGTAGAATTAATTTATTCAGAAAAAATTCTCAATAGCCTACACTGTGTCACAGTGAAACAAGAATAGCCAATTCTGCTGCTCTTACTTATTTTCCATAGTTAAGGAAGGAGGAAGATTGATTAAGGAAAGCCATAACATGGAAGGGGGCGGGTAGCAGGGAGATGTTTGGTGATGAAACTTACCCCAGATATTGGTACACCTTCCAAGGCCCCAGCTTTCTAATAAAATTTTAAAAAAGGATTATGAATAATCACAAATTTGGCTCTACTAACGTAACTGCAACAGGAATGAACACAAATAGCAACATGCCAGAGCATGTGGGCAGACAAGACAAAGCAAGTGTTCCAACGACATGAGTGGTTCAGAGAGAGAGATACTAGAAATATTCCTAGAATGACAAGAAGAGACATGGACGTGAAACACTGGACTGAGAGTCAGGAGACGTGGGTTCTACTCCTGGTTAGTTAGTTAGTCACTGAGCAGACCGCTGAAACTTCTCTATGCCTCAATTTATTTATCTACAAAATGGGCCTGGGCTTATATGCATGCCAAAGGCCATTAGCTCTTTGCTATTATTGTTTTTACTAAGAAAAGACTAACACATCCTTTAAAATGAACATATAAATAGCTATTTAACCAGCATGGAACATGTTTGTTTTGGAAGGCTGTATTTTACCAACTGTTCTTCCTACCCAAACTGCTCTGAAGATAAGTAAGAAACAAGAGAGGGTTCAGGTATTGGGTATTATTTGTTCATAGCCAACATCATTCTTCAAGTTTTGATAAGCAAGAGTTAATTTATGCCATGAATAGTGGTTTTGACTTTGATCAAAAAATTGCCAGCATTCTAGGGGAAAAAAAATGAGATTTAAGTGACTGTCTGTGGACTTTACCAAACTTAATTGTGAAAAAAAAACCAAACAACTTACACTAATACAAAGCAATTTGTACTGATATTAAGGAATTAGGGGGAAGGAATATGATCCCTGAAGTACCTGTGATGTATTAGAAGAGCACCAAACTAAAGCTTTTGCCCGACCCCTCAGTCTGCCATTTGTAAGCCTGTCTCCTGGCCTCTGGGAGCTTCGGGTTCTCTATCTGTGACAGTGAGGGTAAGAACAGAAGCCACCTCACATGGCTATGATAAGGAAATAATAGCATATGTGCGGAAACCCTTTACAAAATAAAAAATACCCTCTATCTAGTGGATAACATTTTATTTCTTTCATGCTTTTGGGTTAATCCAAGACCTATCTTTTATTTACTGTATAAATTCTTAGAAAATCTGAACCTGGATAATAAGTGAATGGCTGAAAGTGAATCAGGAAACCTGTAGACTAGATATCTTAATGTATTTAAATACTGAAAGAAGTCTTTGCTTATACTACTGAAGTTATTATCAAACTACCAGCAGAATCTACTATGTGCAGTCAGGCACGGAAAGCACTCTTTTTTCTTCATGGGGAGGGGGGTCTCTGGAGGATTCCTGGGAATATCCTCTGGTGAAGCATGCAGAAAAAGTGACAGTGCATTTCCAACTAACTGGTCTGAAAGGTTGGTCAAGATATCATTTAAGATAGATGTTTAGGACATCTAAAAACTACACCTAATTTCCCTATTGTGCTAAAGCCCAAAGCACATCACAACTGTACTTTGTAATAGGGACCATCAGAATTTCTCATTCCAGAAAACTACCTTAGTCTTCCTCAGCCTTACGGAAGACTTAAAAATAAATAAGGTTACATTTTAAAAATACCTAAAGTTTGACTAGAGCTTATAATAATTTGGAGGGTCATGGAAGGTTCTAGGTTAATCTACTTAGTAAATGGACTTCTGCTTATCTAAAACTAAATGGAAATGCACTGTATCTTTTCCAAATGAATGGGTAGCATAATTGGTGGGCAACCTACTCACCAGACTATGAGAGATTTTCTATAGTCAGCAAGGGGAGAGAGGGGGACAGAAGCATAATATTTTAAATGCAAGAGAAAACTAGGCCAGTTAAATGTTTTTTTTAACCATCCTCTGAAACTGTTTCTCAAGAATAGTTTTTTTTTTCTCTGACCCAAGTTGGTTTATAGGTAGCTATGAAATTATCAAGGCACTTTTAAATTGTAGATAAGCAACGACTATGCTTCCCTTAAAAAATTCCACTTTGCCTTAAAGGGCTTTATTATAAATGAAACATTTAAGAATTCTTGCTTAAGCTTTATCCAGAACACTTAGTGTTCTACTCTATTATTATTATTATTAAGTCTATAAGTAGAGTTTCTAATGTTTTTCATGAAATGTCAAAACATTATTTTTTGGCAATTAATCTAAGAGTTTTCTTAATCTTTACCATAAATTCTAGTTTTTTGAGCTCAAACACCAGTTCAAATGCTCCTAGAGGTTTTCATCCCTGATGTGTAATCAGAGATACTCAGTAATGCTAAGTGTACTTTTTGCTTAGACTACTTTTTCTGTGGGTTTCAATGAAAGCAACAGTAAAAATGTCCATGATGAAAACTAGTTTAATCAGCAATCACAAACCAGAACAGACTCTTTGCTTTCAGTTTCTTTGCTAAAGTTTTGCTCAGGCTGACAAAGAATCTGATATGAGACATGGTTTGGCCATTAAAGGAGATTCAACAGGAAAAAGAACACCACTAAAATGTGAAGAGACCTTCCCATAAATTAAAAGCAGGCATCACAACTACTAAACAGTTATTTGGATTAAAAGAATAAACTGGCTCAAACATTCCCTTACCACCTTCTGTAGTTAGATTATCTCAATAATACTTTAAAATACTCAAAGAAAAGCCAATAAAGTTTATAATAAAGTTTTTATATACAGTTTTATATAAAGTTTATATAAAATATAAACTGGTAAGAAGGACTCAAGAATTTTAAGTTATAAAACTATTTAAACAATACTAAATTCTTATTTTACATACTGTCAACATTCACAAAATGTACAGGTCTCAAAATACAAAACGTAACACAATTGACTTTTGAATTCTGAATAGTAAAGCCTTTTTTAAGATAAAAATTATTATTATTATTATTATTTTTTTTTACCATTAGGCCATAGATCTCAGAAGAACTCCGGACATTTGGAAGAATTTTCATTGGAATTTCAAAAAATCTAAAAAACAATAAGATTGGGTATATAAAACTATTTTAAATAAACATCTAGAAACATTAATATGAATTTAAAGGCATGTAAACAACAATTAAAAATGAATGTATTTTAGTGTACAATTAAATAGTAACAAATAAATAAGCCAGCAGTATGCTTGGGTATTTAACACTCTATACAAACAAATCAATACAAAATAAAAAGCACACAAAAACCAAAGTACTTTTATAGAGGAACCTAATTTTCCTTGAAAAATAATCAAGACAATTACTTAATTTGGCCTATTTATTACATATGCAATAAAATGGATTAAAGACCTAAATGTAAGGCCAGAAACTATCAAACTCTTAGAGGAAAACATGGGCAGAACACTCTATGACATAAATCAGAGCAAGATCCTTTTTGACCCACCTCCTAGAGAAATGGAAAAAAAACCAAAAATAAACAAATGGGACCTAATGAAACTTCAAAGCTTTTGCACAGCAAAGGCACCCAGAAACAAGACCAAGAGACAACCCTCAGAATGGGAGAAAATATTTGCAAATGAAGCAACTGACAAAGGATTAATCTCCAAAATTTACAAGCAGCTCATGCAGCTCAATAACAAAAAAACAAACAACCCAATCCAAAAACGGGCAGAAGACCTAAACAGACATTTCTCCAAAGAAGATATACAGACTGCCAACAAACACATGAAAGAATGCTCAACATCATTAATCATTAGAGAAATGCAAATCAAAACTACAATGAGATATCATCTCACACAGGTCAGAATGGCCATCATCAAAAAATCTAGAAACAATAAATGCTGGAGAGGGTGTGGAGAAAAGGGAACACTCTTGCACTGCTGGTGGGAATGTCAATTGGTTCAGCCACTATGGAGAACAGTATGGAGATTCCTTAAAAAACTACAAATAGAACTACCCTATGACCCAGCAATCCCACTACTGGGCATATACCCTGAGAAAACCATAATTCAAAAAGAGTCATGTACCAAAATGTTCATTGCAGCTCTATTTACAATAGCCAGGAGATTGAAGCAACCTAAGTGTCCATCATCGGATGAATGGATAAAGAAGATGTGGCACATATATACAATGGAATATTACTCAGCCATAAAAAGAAACGAAATTGAGTTATTTGTAGTGAGGTGGATGGACCTAGAGTCTGTCATACAGAGTGAAGTAAGTCAGAAAGAAAGACAAATACCATATGCTAACACATATATATGGAATCTAAGAAAACAAACAAACAAAAAAAAACGGTCATGAAGAACCTAGGGGTAAGATGGGAATAAAGACACAGACCTACTAGAGAATGGACTTGAGGATATGGGGAGGGGGAAGGGTAAGCTGTGACAAAGCGAGAGAGTGGCATGGACATATATACACTACCAAATGTAAAACAGAGAGCTAGTGGGAAGCAGCCGCATAGCACAGGGAGATCAGCTTGGTGCTTTGTGACCACCTAGAAGGGGGGGATAGGGAGGGTGAGGCAGAGGGAAGAGATATGGCAATATATGTATATGTATAACTGATTCACTTTGTTATAAAGCAGAAACTAACACACCATTGTAAAGCAATTATACTCCAATAAAGACGTTACAAAAAAAAATAATAGTCTGGGGCTTCCCTGGTGGCGCAGCGGTTGAGAGTCCACCTGCCGATGCAGGGGACATGGGTTCATGCCCCGGTCTGGGAGGATCCCGCGTGCCGTGGAGCAGCTGGCCCCGTGAGCCATGGCTGCTGAGCCTGCGGGTCCGGAGCCTGTGCTCCGCAACGGGAAAGGCCACAACAGTGAGAGGCCTGCGTACCGAAAAAAAAAAAAAAAAAAAAAAAAGTCTCTTTTAAAAGAATATACAACATAGACTTGTACATTGTAGTTGAAATATCAACAGTTAAAGTTTGGTGCTCCAGTAACATCTGAAAATAGTAAGATTTAGGTTATAAATAGGCAACACACTTGGAAAACTATTCTTAGGGCAAAACACAACTCACTCGCAGAGCTCTTTATCCCATTCCAAAGAATGGATGTTGAAAAGCATCGTCCTGCTTGCATTTGTTACATCTGTACAGTGGACACCTCCACTGGCTCCTCCTGTCAAGCTCTGGACGGAATGAAAAGGACATGTTAAATCTGTACTTATTTGCAATTTAATTTACACTTTGTCAAGACCCATAATCAGTTGCAGAGCACATAAGGCAGGAGAATGGAACATTTCAATTACTTAATTTTTTTGTTTTCAGCAGTGTCCAACAGAAATATAACGTAATTGAACCACACTGAGCCACATGTGTACTTGAATATTTTCTAGTAGTTACATTTAAAAATTATAAAGCAGGTAAAATTAATAATACTATATATTTTATTTAATCCAATGTATCCAAAATATCCTTTCAATATAAAAAAATATTACTGAGACATTGTACCTTCTATTCTTTGTACTAACTCTTTGAAATACAGTGTATATTTTACACTCATGCACATCTCAATTCAGACCCGCCACATTTCAAGTGCTCAATAGCCATATGTGGCAAAGTGGCTACCATACTGGACAGCAGTTCTAGCTAACTGATGGTTAAAGAAAAAATTCAGTTTTTGTTTTCATCCTCTTATCTTTGGAAGATGCAGAGTCTCATTAAATTTGGCAAAGTAAAATACATTGAAATGCCTGCCTCTTAGGATCTTACTGAACCCTGTGTTGCTGTTGTTGCTCTTGTTGCGTGCGTGCGTGTGTGTGTGTGTGTGCGCGCGCGTGCGTGTCCATGTTTTGGAATAACAATTCTCATTGGGCTGTGCCTGCAGTGACCCAAGCACATATCCTGAAAGCAGTTTTAAACTCTCTAATGTTAATACCCTTGTACCTGAACTGCAAGGACTGCTGCTTCCTTTTATGTAGAAGCAATGAGAAGTAAGAAAGGAACAAAAGTGGAGAAACGGCAGCTCACAGTTCCACATCTTGTCTTAGTCTGGCTCCAGGCAATTGTGAGAATTATTGTCAGAATTATTTCAACTGTGACCGACACGTGTGAAAACTGCTGGCCATGAGCACAATGCACAGCATGCCCTGGCCAAGCACAGGGAGGGCTGGAGAAGGCGCTACTTCCTGATAGGGGGTTTGAAAGATCTGCTCTGTGGATCTGGCAAGTGAGAATAGGGGCAGTGTTCCCTCGAAGCTCCCCTGAATGTTGGAAAAGATAATCACATACTTAGAGAAGGGTTTACAAATGAAATTATATGTCTGGCATTTGCTTTAAATTATCCATGGGGAGAAAGAGTGAGTACAGTTGAAACAAGTTTGGCCACAGCTGATTACTGTAGCTGACTCATTGTTCTAGAGGTTCATGACACTATTCCCTCCACTTTTTGGGTGTATTTGAAAATGCCATTAATAAAAATAACAGAGAATGAGAGAGAGAGAGAGACAGAGAGAGAGACAGAGAGAGAGAGAGAGAGGAGAGAGAATGAAGAGAACGAACATGTACTTTTAAGATATATAGATATCTGGGAAATGTTTGTTTCTACTCATCCATGTTCAGCTTAGGCAAAAAGATTATATATCAGAAATTTCCACTATGATTTTTCATGTTGTGACTTAAGTAAAAGTCAGCTGTGTGATGTTGAAAACAAATGTTCAAACGTAGCCTAGGTGTTTTATCATGTTAAGTAGTAGAAAATAGAAGAAATAAATTTCTTCCAGGAAATGGCTAGTGGAAAAGAAGTACAGTTGACCCTTGAGCAACACAGATTTGAACTGTGCAGGTGCACTTATACGTGGATTTTAAAAATAAATAATACAGTACTACATGATCCGCAGATACAGACAGCTAACTATCCATGGCGGGTCCTAGAACCAAGCCCCTGCACATAGCAAGGGACTGTATGATAGGCAGCAGATAAAGGCTACTTAAATTTACTAATTGCTAATTACCTAAATTAGTTAGTCTAAAGTTAATAAACATGAGATGTGGTTTTGGTAATCATCCTCCATTTTTGCTGAAATAAAACAAGAAAAAATCAAGAAGAAGCAGGCAAAAGTGCCTCTCAAATGGAGGCTGAACTTTCTGCTGTTTCTTGAATGGCTTTTCTTAATGATGCTGCCAACTAAAAAGTTTGAAACTCTTTGTAGAAAAAAGATAGGCAGTTTAAAACACACACACATGATATTTAAACATACCCAAATAAGCCATGAATCAACGGTCCCAAAAAGAGCTCTATCTTCTTCAACTGCCTTTTGAACTTTTCTCACATTGTCAAGGAGCCAACGAAGTTTCACTGCACTGAAATAAGTGCTAAGTGGAAGGCCTGTCTTGGACTAAAAACAGTTATGAAATTCAGCCAGGAAATTAAATTCATAACAGCTTAAAATAAAACACCAAATCAAAAAACTCAATAAATCACAAAATATTCAATGGTCCTAAAGGCAATCCTACAGTATTATGGATAAAAATACTTTTCCTATCTCATGGCACAGGAAAGCATGTTCATGAAAAAAGATCAGAGTGGTATGTTTGCAGTTCAAAGAGCATCCACGTAGCAAGGTAAAGAGAAAATTAAATGACACATGCCCTGAAATCTAGATAGTTAAAACATAGATGTTAACTTTTGTGATGAGTTAGGATTACATACAGAAGCTAGCCTCAAACTCTGCTTTTTATTTCATATTCCATGAAAGTGATATTTAAACTATTGAAAATCAGAGAGAATATCAATTCATAAACTAATGACCACAACCAGAAGATTGTTTTAAAACATATAAGCCTTAACAATATATTTATGTGTGTAAAAAATCTAATACATATTCAATACACATATTCAAATAACATAAAATTGGTGGAGAATAAAGCAGAGCTCAAAGACACGCCAGATTAAAGCAACACAAAGTTGTTCTATTTAAGAAAGTAGTTGCCAGTCGAAATATAATGTTGTATACATGAAACTTATATGATGTTACAAACCAATGTTACCTCAATAAACTAAAAAAAATAGTATATACATATAAAAGAAAGTAGTTGCCTAAATTCAGCAAATAGATTGAACAAAGGGAGGGTGAGTTGAATAAAGGTTAAAGGGTAAAAATGAAACATGGGCTTATCAATCTTCCTTGAGAATGGATCAGGTCCAATTCATTTTTGTTAGCATATTAAACACTATATTTATAAGGGCTGGTGAAAGTGGTTAAGAAAATACATACATCAAAATAATGCAACTATCTTCCCCTTCTTGATTGATCCCTATTCTCATTTATCACTCAACTATAGAAAGTGATCCCTTTTCCTTCTCATCTCCCATGGATATGTTTAGTAAAAAAAGCTCAAACCAAAGGATTTAACACTTTAATGCAACCTTGTAAGTTAAGAATCTTAACTCATAGTTTTCTAGCTTTCCTAGAAAAAAAAGATCAATGCTCAAAAATAATAAAAGGAAGTAACATATGGGAATATGCTTCTTTGATCTGAAGGACCAAGGGTCATCCCACAAACCAAATAGTGAGGTAGCATATAAATATCTCATTTTCATGATTTAAGTAGAAGGTGTAAAAGTTGCCTTAAATGGCTTTGGAGAGAAAAACATGCACCCCTTGAAGCAAAGTGCAGCTGGAGGTAGGCGTGAAGGCTGGGCAGGTTGATCAAGAGAACAGAATAGGAAATGGGTGAGGGTATACTCAGGACAAGACTGAGGTTATTTGGGTGGGTAACGGTAGGGGATGTTTTGTTAGACTGCTGCAATTAATGGGATTTGAGCACTAGCTTCAGAACCAAGAACCACAAGAAACTGACATTTAAGAGTCCCACTGACAAATATAAAGGGAATAAACCAAAAACAAAACAGAAAGAAAGAAAAAAAAATGGAATTTCTTTTTGGACAGTGGGAGAAATTGGCCTTGACCTTGCTAAGAAAAGTACCTCGTCTGTTTCAAAAATTTTCCCTCCCTTCATTTATCTGAAGAGAGACCTATATGAGGACTGAAAATTAGGCATTTTTTATTGGCTTCTTCATATGAAGAAAGTGGAAGAGGAGTTCAAGTAAAGGCTGGAGTGTCTTCTAGTTTCTCTCCCTGAATCCAGATACCTAAAAACTCAAAAGCATGCAGAACTTTCTTTGATGGACAGTAAAAAAAAAAAAAAAAGAGAGAGAGAGAAGGATTTGGAAAGCACGGTTGAATTATAGGAAGCACCCTGTGAGGAGCATGGTTCAAGCCACTGGGACACCTTATTATCCCCTCCAGCCTATTTACCTTGGAATATTATTCCTCCAATCTACCACAGGGCAAGGAAGATAGAAACGTAATTATCTGTGGAGAAATATTCTATCAATTGTATCAAATAACTATTGTGCAATAAGATGTAAGGCCTGGTGAAATCTCCAAACTTTTTTTGTTAAACAAGCATTTTTATAGTATACTTTTGAAGAGATCTCTTACCTTGACAAAGTTATTATTTCCTGGAATTCGTTTACTAAGACTCTCAACGGTAGACTGGGTTCTTAGGTCAAGCCACACTATAGACCAAAATACAATAATATATATGAAAAACTTCATTTAAAAAAATCAGATCTTAATGAAATCACTGTCAAGGATAGGAGACTGATTAGTTTCCATAAGCAATTAAAATGCTACGGCTTTCAAAAGACAGAAATTAGAAAATTAGAAATGAATGGGCATATTGTTAGAAGAGAGAATAAATTTATGAGGGAGAATTTGAAGCTTTTATGCAAAATTATAGGCCAAGTTAGGAGAACAATACATACCTTAGGGTGCTGATTTTGTATCATTTTTTATAGAAAAAAAATGGTTTTGGATATGGATTTTCTATGCATACATGAGTGCAGAGAAAATCTAAATGCTAGGCAGGCTAGTTTCCAGGGCAAAATGCACAGCCCAGGATCACTGTACCATGTATAAAGCATGTACCTTAGAAAAACTTGGTAGCAGTTTGTGACAAAGTAGAGAACCTGATACTATTATAGAGGGGGAAAAAAATAAGATTCAGTCGCTTATGTACAAAATGCTTATTTACATTAAACTCTTTCAAAGTAGGCTAGAATCCAGAATCGCTACAAGAATTATTTACAGGTCACCATTCTTTCTCCATGCTAGATTGTAAAAAAAAACTCTCCATTTTAACAGATCAATGTTGTTTCCACTAAATAACTATCATCCACTTTCTGATCCCCCTAGTAGAAAGTTCTGTTCTGCTTTACGGCAGAAGGCTTGAGAAAGAGAATGCATTAAGTAGTATACAGAGCAATTGCAAAAGGTAAACAATAGGATCAGCTGAGCTTTATTTGTCAGATTTCAGGTTTGTACTTAACTTTTATAACTTTTAATCTGTGAGTGGTCACTCGATATTTTTTGGCACTGACTGTGCTCAGATGCCTCCTAAAAACACAGTTTATTTAAAGGGCACCAGGAAGATTATGCATACTTGCCCACTACACATGCGAGTGCTGGCAGCTACTGTCTAGCCTGGCTCATCCTTAACTGTACTATTCCTTACTCTTCATTTAAAAACCAGTTGTTTCCTGTCCTGAATTTTAACCAATTCTTTTAAATTACTTAAAGCATCATTTCCCTTGAGGGCTTGCCTGTGCTTGATTTTGACAGTGGCTACTTTGCATAAGAATTAAATCAGGGGCTTCAGGACACTATACTGCTTCCCAAAGGTGGGGAAAACTTTAAGAAAACAAGGCCCATCATAACCAAGGAAACAAGACACAAAGAGGAAGACCATGGAAATACATAGCCTAGCAATGACACCTGCATTTGCTGCCCAGCATCCATTCCTCTTGCTGCTGGGAGCTGTATCTTTAATTCTCTTTAGGAAGTCAACTCTCCCTCATCCTCAGCCTGAGATTCAACCCTACCCCCAGGTCCAGTATTGTGTCCCCAGTGAGCGGTTCAGGAGAGGAGCAAATCAGCCTCTGATGTGCTCTGATGTGGTCAAATCAGCCCAACTCAGATTTGTGCTCAGTCTGAAAGAGTCCCTGTTCTCAGCTCAGCTTGGGAGTGTGTAGCTGGACCTGCTGCCCTCTTGAATAGAGAGCTGAATCGGCCACATCTGGAGCCAACCCAGAAGAGACAGACTTGAGGGGGATCCAGGCGATACTGTCTGACTTGAGAATCAAATAGCACCTGAACTAAGCTACTTGTAGAATTCCTTTTTTTCCCCTTATAACTTCACTTACTTGGGGTTCAGTTTTCTCTTACTTGCCCTGTGATTGATACAGCCATTAGCAGCAGCATCGTGGAGTTGGCAAGGTCTCCCATGTCCAGGGAACAAGGGAAATCTGCTTTGTACACAGTGGCAGTGTTGTGTGACTGTGACAAAGGTGGGCCTTCCTCATAGGCAAGCAACCCTAGCAGGTGTTAAAGGCTTAACCAGAGGAGTTGGGAAAAGTAGAGGAGGTCGAGAGAAAAGTTTTAAACCTATGACAGGTAGAATTAACAGCACATCTCAATCCTCAAGTGTTTGAAACTACAGTGGGCTAGGGGTTTAAAAATCAGTGTATTAATAGTTTCCATTACCTACTTTACAAAAATGAAATAAGATGCATTAGGATGGAAAATGTCAGCATTCACTGAACTCTGTAGGATAAATATTTACCTGTGAAATGTTGTTTTAGTTATGCTGGCTTGTTGAATCATGAGGTAAAATCTATTTCTTACCAAGGGACATGAAAACCACTGCTCTAGGCTTTTTGTTTACTGACTCAAAACCTTCCAGATCAGCATTTTTCGATATTTAAATGGACATAAAAATCACTAGGGAGCTTAAAGATAAACCCCACTCCCAGAAATTCTTAGCTAGTAGGTCTGGGGAGGGGGCCCAGAAATATACCTTTTAAATAGATGCCCCTCCCCTTTAAGAAACACTGCAGTGGTTTAAGACTCAACATCAGTGGTTCTGATCCAGAAAGCACACCAGAACCAACTGGAAAACTTTGAAACCACACATCCCGGTCCCTACATTGTAGGATTCTGGTTGCAAGTCCAGGCCAGGAAGGCCCGAGTCTTTCTACCTACGTTATTCAGTGTTATACTACAGCTTGAGAACCTCTTTTTTAAGGAATGTTCTTTAGGATACTGAATTTGTTCCAATCATTAATTTAAAAACAAAACTAAAGACAAACTGATGATCAAGTGGCTCTCTGAGTTCCAGGGGCTCTGTGATTCTACTGCTCCTTGACAAGGACTACTTAAGAAATTGGGCACTACACTCCTCACTTGAAAGCTTCCAAGTAGCCACAGTGGTATGTGCAGAATGAACCCCTCATCAAAAGGAGTCAAAACACTGGAGGTGAAATCTACATCTTCTGGCTTTGCCACCAACAAGCTATGTGACCCAAGCAAGTCACGTTATCCTTCGTGGCCTGGGTTTCCAGAATATAAAATAAGGCAGTTTGGACTAGATGGTCTCAAAAGTCCCTCTCCTTCCATTATTCCATGATCACAGAAGGCTGGCATAATTTTTACTTTGTTTTTATAACCCAAGGGTTTAAAGCAATTAGAATACATGGAATGAATTAGTAAAACTGCCAAAGAGAAAAATGTCAGTGGTTGGTATACTACTAAGCAATTCACAAATGCTCAAAATTAACTGAAGTAAGAACAAAAAAAATTAGACAACTCATTAAAGAAGCTAAGATGGCAGAATTACATTTGCAGAATAAGAGACCAAAAGCCAAAGAGAAGACCCCAAGCTGGAGGACTAAGCCCCTCGTGGAGATAATTTCTGAGAACAATCAAAAGAAGTGCCAGATCCAGATCCAGCAGCAGCAGTCAATTTCCCCCAATGTGTCTGAGTTGGAAGGCCGGGAAGTGAGCAAGGGCCAGAGCACCAATACCTGAGGAAGCGCCAGCAGCTGGAACTGAAGAGCCAGAGGGAACAACGGCAACTGGATCTGAAGGGCCAGGAGAAACTGGAGCAGCTGGAGCATTAGGAGAAATAATGGCAATTCATGCTAGAGATGGCCAGGTTCAAGGTTTGTGTTTTCTTGCTGACCATTTAGGAAATGGTAGATCACATGGGCAAGTTCATCAGGATGAACATTTTCCTACACATTTAAGCGTAGAAAAAGAGAAGGAAGAGACGTGGAGTAGAAGGGGAACAGAGGCAGTCCAGTCAGAGTCTCTGGTTCAATAGCATTTCCGTTTGGACAAAGACCAGGTAAATATCTGCTTCTTGTTCAGGATGACTCTTCCCTACCTTGTCACAAATCTGCGTCCTAGTTAGGAAAGTGGCTCAGTTGACTTTCACCCAACCACTGAATTGAAAGGCTATGTGATGCAGTGAGAGAGTGCATCCCTGAGGGACTTCTGAAAGGAGTGCTAAGGAGCATTAGCATGGTAGGAGCGCTACAATCTCTGCTGGGGCCACCTGCAGAAAGACATAAATGGGTGGCTTTGGGAAGGCACAGCTCCAGGAAAGCACTTCCCTGGTAGGGTGGCAGGAGATGAAGTTCATCTCCACAAAAAGCAACAGCGTATCTAAAGGGAACAGGGAATTGCTAAGTTCCAAAGTGATTCGGAAAAACATCAGAAAAAGGAAAATAGAGTCCAGAATACCATACAGCCTGTTTCTAGAACGCATGTCCCTTACTTAGACCAAATAAATTGGATTTAAATGGTTCAGACCACCAAGTGAATAGGTTAAAAAAAACCCAACTGAAATTTTTATTTGTATTAAATAAAGTCACATCCAATATATGTCTGGTGGATTTAGTTTGTTCTGAAAACAAAGTTTTAAGAGTGAAGAAAAATGCAGTTGCCTCAAAGCCCGCGGACTAAGGTTAGTTTAGTGATGTAGTGACAGCATAGAGGAAGAAATCATTTTTAGAATATGTAGAAATTTGCATCAGTTTGGGTTAGTCATAACAAGAGAAGGGAAATATACCTAAGGAAAAAAAAAAGCAAACACACTAAAGATAAACTAAATTTTTTTCAGTTGACTAGAAGCAAAGGCAAATAATACATCTCCTCTGGATGGTTTGCTATGAGGCGCTACTGGCCTGACAGAAAGGGAGATGAAGGTAAGGCTCCAGGTTTTGGAACACACCCTAAGCAAGGACTGCTGACAGTTATACAAAGTGTTATGGGGTCGTTTTCCGCACAATAGACATTACATCTAGTAAACCAGATTTAATTGCTATGTGTTACCACTAGCCAAAAGTTAAGCTATTAATTAAGCTGGGTAAGAGGTCATTTGCAAAGGAAAAGAGGCTGTCCCTCACCTGATGACATTTCGAGAAATCAGGTGGGGCCGAAAGAAATGTGGAGAGTTGGGGAGGGGGGTGAATTAAAACATGCATGTCAAACTTTGGGGGCTGAAACCTATTTCGGCTCTTAGGTGTATAAATGCCAAAATGCCAATGGCTGACATGAGTGTATGTGGCCCCAGGTAAGCTCTGCATTTTCCCTAAGAACACCTGTTGTATATAAATCAGCCATTTCATCTGGCAATCCTGGACTGAAAAGGCTATCATCTAATTCAGAACAGTGG